ATGTCCTTTGTTTGATGATTGATAGCACCATTGTTATAAAAAATCTGTCTTGTGTAATCTCTAAATGAATTATATTTAAGCATACTTAGTTTTTATAGTCATTTGTTTTATTTATATAATATTACGTATCTTTGATGTGTAAAATAAAGTATTATTTGGAATATTTTGTAATATTCTCTTCTGTTTGGGTTACATAAATAATACCAATAAAAATCTAGATCTGATTTTAAAACAAATTTGGAAACACAAAAATGGACGGAAGTAGTTAAAATTAAGCTTTTTATACATTTCAGAGCTTAAATGAGGAGTAACGTGCGATAATATTTGCCTTAATTCATCCCTTTTGAATATGTAATAAATATAAGAGTGTTAATATGCATAATTATAGTCCATAGCTGGTACATCAAACATGTCACACTATAGATGCTTGGAAAAATCAGTCTTTTTATTAAATCATTGGATACAAGAGTTGTAAGGAAATACGAATATTGTAACGAAATTCAATATTACTTTTAATATTTATGTTTATTATACAACTTTCAATATGAAATTAGATAAAAAGGTTCATACAGTAATTGTTTTAAAAATAAATTATAGTTTATATTATTAACCTAGCTGACCAAGCAGACGTTGTTCTGCCCTTTATCCTAAACTTTCCTATGAGACTTATTATATCGGGATAAAAATCCTATATATCAGGTAGAAGTAAGCGATACACATTTAAAATTTTTATTAAAATCGGTTGAGCGGTTTCGGAGATCAGTGTGAACGAACATCGTGACACGGGATTTTTATATATTAAGATAGGCACCATCATTTTCCAATTCTAAATTATAGCTATAAATTATTTCTTCATAATAACACTTGCAAACTTAAATGTATATTATGAATAAGTTTTACGTACAGGTGAATACTGATATAATCTCAACAAGAATTTATATTAACCGTTTAGAATAATAGAACACTCTGTATATGGGTATATAATTGCAGGAATGTCGCAACTAAAGTACATTTGGCGTGATTCTTGTTATAGGATTTTTCTGTTTTAATTTCTCTCACTCGGTATTTATTAAACATAGAGCAATATCTTCACTACTCATTTTTTTTTTCATTATAATATACACATAAGTTCTAGCAGCTATGAAATCGATTAAACATTCGACTATTATTTTAATACGTATTGATAGGGTAGAATTTATATTTTACATTTAAATATCTTATAGCACTGCATATTTCTTATATTTATTGAGTCATTCAAATGTGTATTTACAGGAGTTTCAAATAAATAATACTAAGACTCCTATGTATACTACAAGATGGGCACTACGGTACTAATACACTGCGCACTAGGTTACGGTCAATTCTCCGTAACTCCTTCAGTTGACTACGAGCGGCCGAGTAACTAGTTCTTTGTTTTGTAAACCGCGAACGTTGTCTTCGACAATCTAACACTGATTTTGTTTAATGTGACTAAGAAAACGCTGTCATCATTTATGTGCGCACTTTGTCAACGTGATTTGAAGTTTATTTTGGATAAGTATGTAACTTTATTTCGTATTAGCCTAAAACCAGTGACTGTCGTAAATGAAAATACAACTGCGCGGCATATTTACCCTGCCAGGTACCCATACAACCAGTGCCCGCGAGATCTACAAATTTGATTGAGTTTTTGCTCTGAATTGACGTTCTAGTAGTATATACAGAAGTCTTTGAATAATACTAACATTTATAAACAACCTATAATTTTGAGAAATTGTTTTCAAATTACAAATACACCTTTTGTTAAATTTAATAGTTTAAAGAGCGTGACATAATATAGGCAAAATTTTAAGTCTTCTTGTTTGTTTGTTTGACAAACTAATTAAATGATAATAATCAATTACAATAATAAATACAAGGAACAAAATAAATTCGGAAACTTCTTTTTCACATAACAGCCATTTTAATATAAATCCTACACATAATTAAAAGAAGGCCAACGAGACGAAATGAATAATGTAAACATACTACATTATATAGAACAATTATCTCTATCTCCATAACACCGGAAGCGAATGTCATTTCGCAGGGTAATGAGGGTATCCACGACTTTTTCTGCCATCAGGGCGGCGGCACTTTGGAATGAGGTGAAATATTTGACAGGTTTCATAACGGTGAAGTTAATTTCTTAGGAACATGTAAATGTTTCTCTCTGCAATATTAGTTATATTTTATATTAATTAGATTAGACATGTATAAATCAAACTACGTATATTATACAAGTAGAAAAATTAAATAAAGAGAGTCAAAAATGTGCAAAATAATCAAAAAGCAAACCACTGTGGCATTGTTTTGTGAGTTAATATAATACCCAAAAAACTGTTACACTTTTATTTAAAACTAATTTCTCAAATAAATTACATTACTCTCAACAAAAACTTCACTTCAGTCCCAACTAGCGACATCTTGTGAGCGGAAGGTCAGAACTAGTACGGTGGTTAGAACTATGGAGTGTAGAGTAGAAGGAGGACCATCTCTGTATATGAAAAGTGTCCCTAAAAACGCGTCCAATAAGGGTGGCGCTGCAGTAGCATAGGATAAATTAAAAAAAAAGCGCCAAAATTTATTAGAATAAGATGGAGAAATAAACAAGGACCTACCAATCCGCTTGGTTTTGTACTACGTAAATAGTTGAGGTTTTGTATACTGGCATTTTACTAACTACTCTAGTCATGAAATTTTATAAATATTTTAATTCAGCTGACTTCACTCCGTCTACAGCAGCTATATTCATATCGTAGTTTTTCAGACGCCAGCGCTATTGTGGTAGGTTTTGGAACCTCTATTTTCAGTATATATTGGGACACTTTGTCAACTTTCGCACCTTATAAGATGGTTCTCCTTCTACTCTACACTCCATTGTTAGAACATTAAATTTTCTGTAGCACTATTGTTTTGTGACTTTTTATCTAAGAATTAAAACCGGTGCAGTGACGGCGTTGTAGAGTCTACTAACTTATATCATCCCGTGGGTGAAGACCATGTAGGGTAACTTTAACAGGAGACGGGTAGTAGCATCTTTTCTATAACAACTTAAAATAATAAAAGCTGTGGTTGCCAACTCGCCTGCCAGGCATTCAGCAGCGGAGTTTTGAGAAGCTGTAATGAAGTGATGGATGAAGTTTATCTTATCCATACATCCATTCATCCAATGCTGATCTTCATAGATTGCCTCATAGGGGATTTCGCCATAGTTGTCACGCATGACAAGCGGGTTGGCAACTGTAGTTTTTTTTATTATTTTGAGTTGTTATCAGGAAGATGCTGCTGCCCATCTCCTGTTTCAGTTTCCCTCTGTCGCCTTTTACGACACCCACGGGACGACATGGGGTAGTGGATATTCTTACATAGCCACCACACGTTTACGGTTTATCTTATAACTACTGCTTAATATGACTAAAATGCCGGCTGAGCTAAATTTACAAAAAAAATATCTAAGTACCCTCCGAAAGTTAATGTACATTCATTATCTAGTCTCGCTGGTCTGCCTTTATAATAAATACTATCAACTGACAGTTAAGACTTTATCAATGAGGGTATCCACGACTTTTTCTGCCACCAGGGCGGCGCCACTAGAAAGTGAGGTATAATTTTACAGATTTCATAGCGGGGAAGTTAATTTGTTCGGAAAATGTAAAAGTTATTGTTTCTTTCTGTACTATTAGCTATATTTTATATTAATAACATTAAAAATAAATAACGTAAACCACAGATATTTATAAGAGTAGAAAAATTAAAAAAAAAGGTTTAAAATGTACAAAAAATTAAAGAGCAAACCACTGACGCATTATTTTGCGTATTAATATAATACTTTTGAAACTGATAAACTTTTATTAAAAAACAACTTCTCAATTAAACTACATCGTGTAACAAAAAACTTTATCTCAGTGTCTAGTAGCGACATCTGGTAAGCAGAAAATTATTAACCCCCATTAATATATATATTTATCTAGATTACTCTAAACATTTTGATAGACCTAACTACACTTGAGTCGACGTATTGAGTAGGTACACGTAATTGAATTGAACAGAGACAGTAAAATGGAGAAGTTATATATATATTTTAGGTAAGAATGGAAGATTCACTTCAGGTAAGATGTAGAGTACAAAGATCTCATTGTACACTACTACACGTGCACTACGGTACTAATACATTGTGCACTAAGTTACGGTCAATTCTCCGTAACTGCTTTAGTCGACTGCGAGCCCCCGAGAATACTAGTTCTTTGTTTTGTAAACCGCGAACGTTGTTTTCGCCAATCTAACACAGATTCTGTTCAAGGTGAGAAAGAAAACTCTGTCATTATTTACGTGCGCACTTTCTCAACGAGATTTGAAGTTGATTTCAGATAAATATGTCACTTTATTTCGTATTGGCCCAAAAACAGTAACTGTTGTAAATGAAAATACAACCGAATGGCACATTTACCGTCCACCCGGGGCCCGCGCGATCCACAGCTGTGACACATTGTTCTGAATTGCCGCTATAGTAGTATACAAGACTTTGGTAGAGTATTACATAATGGCGTGTTTAATTAATTAACGCACAAATTCCCAAGCGCTGCGCAGATTTAAGTCTCGTGCCGTCTCTATCACTCTATGTCAAAGTGACAGTGACACCACTAGACTTAACCGACATCTCAAAATTGAGTAGCCTTTGAGTATTTGGCCAAAACACTATAAAAGTAAATTTTATCTATTTTCAAACTAAGTTTTATCTTACATCATTTTGTATTCATCATTACGCTAGTTTACATTGATAGTAAAACGTTGCCTAAACTTGCTTAGAACCAGCTAAACAATACCAAAAGTTTTTTAGTGTATAATCTATGTCAGACTGAGTCTGGCGTCTAGAACTTTCTTAGTTTGTAGTCTAGAAATAGCCCACATTGTGACCTAGAATGCAATTTTTGATCCAGAACTCTTGTGACTTAGCAGAGAAACAATAGCAAGGCACCTCATTAACCCTTGCCTACAGCTTGGTCGTAGGACGGTGGCATCGCTGAAAAAGACAGTAAACAACTTTAGTAATGTCTAAACAAATCTTAATACTATAACAAATAATTTTTCATGCATTTTTATATTGAAAATTAATAAAATGTATCATGAGTGACAGTAGGAGTGCTCTAATAACTTGCACAAATATTTATATGATATATATATGCACTATAAAACTTAAGGTGAAACCTCCAGGGTTGCCCGCGAAATTCATATTTTCTTGCGTTTTTTTAAATTTGCAGCAGGTCAGGGTTAGGTTGAATGTTTAATAAAATATGATTCGCGACTGTAACGAGTATGTGTTTATAGAATTATTATCATTAAAATCACCAATACAACCCTCTAAGTTCATATAAACCTTTTGAATTAGTTTTTCTGGAAATAGCCATAAATTGGAATTATACGAACATAGACGGTTATATTGATGATTGTAATGATTATAATTCTGTAAATACATACTCGTTACGATCGCGAATCATATTTTGTTAAACATACAACCTGACACTGACCTGCAAATTGTCAAAAACGTAAGAAAATTTGAATTTCGCGCGCTACCCTGGCGCTTCCACCTTAATAGAATAGTTTGGGAACCAAAATTCAATAAATTTCATAATTTTTTGCTGAGCTTAGAATGGTGATTGCTCCTAGTAGTAAATAATGAAAATGATCACCGAAGTCTCTGAGTGGGATAACGCACTAATACAAACTACATGAATCTATTTTTATGTACTAAAAGACAACTATTAATAGACATAACATTCAAATATATACAATATTTAAAAGAATACGTGAGTGTTGTGGAACACTCTGTTGGAACGAAGTTCCTTGCGTAGTATATTATTATTGATAAACTTATAGGTATTATATTATTGATTAACAAATACAAATCAATGAATTACTAGCGTCTATTAAAATGCAGCGTCATTTAAAATAAAATAATTATTCTTTCATGGCAAGATAAGAAAAAGTGCGAGGGAGATGGATATTTTTCCATCCATGGACCGATAGCCTCTACTGCCGTTCTTTTCCATTACAGCCTACTAAAGTCCACGGCTGAACATAGGCCTCCCCCATAGATTGCCTCATAGGGGGCATATTTGCCATAGTTGTAATGTTACTGTTGATTTGGTTATGTGCTCCTGGTAGATTATCTTCTATACGTCCATCCATTACAGCCTATAAAAGTCCCACTGCTGAACATAGGCCTCCCTCATACATTGCATCACAGGGAGGGGGGGGGGGGGGGGGAATATTTGCCTTAGTTGCCACACTTGGCAAGCGGGTTGGCAATCGCAGTCTTTTTATAGCCTGATAAAATGTCTACGCAAGTAGCATCCCACACTAGGGCTTTACCTATCTCCCAAGGGACAAAAATCATACAGTCGGGTCTCTTGCAATCGTCTCTAAATATTCCACAAGGGTCTAAAACCAAGGGAACATTTATAGAGACAAGAGCTCTGCGGATAACATAGTTCAAAGAACTTTTTTTCCATGAAAGGATTACGATTAGTTCATTAAATATTAAATGAAACCAACGATTTATTAAACTTCCAACTAATTTTAAACACGAACAGTTGAACAACATTAATACAAGCAATCTTTTACGTGGTAGAGCCATGCTGCAGCTATATTATGGTTGTGGCACGAATGAGTCAGCTCGACCGGGAAACAAAAAAAAACTACTTTTTTTTTTAATTTTGCCCAGTCGAACTGAGTGAAAATAATGAAAAAATAAAGGGTGAACCACTGAGGCATTGTTTTGTGTATTTACTATTTACACACTGTTTAAAACGTTAAATTTTAATTAAAACGCATTCTAATATTATCATACTTAATTATAATTACATTGTATAACTAATAAATTCACCTCACTACCAACTAGCGACATCTGGTGAGCGTAAAATTATTAGCCCTTAGTATACAATATGAAATCCAAAAATAAACATTTCTCCGCGTTCAAGCTCTATAATTCCTTCACGGGGCAATTATACATACTGTTTTTATCATCATCATCATCATCATTACAGCCCTTCACAAGTCCACTGCTGAACATAGGCCTCCCCCAAAGAATGCCACAAAGCACGGTCCTGAGCCACCTGCATCCATCGACTTCCTGCATGTCTTACCAGGTCGTCACTCCATCACTGTTTCTATCAATAGGTTTAAAGTTTTTAATAAGCAAAAATAATCTAGTAAGGGCTATTATACTACTAAAGAGAACATGACTGATAATAACCCCTGGGAATGAGGTGATCGCTACCATGCTGTTTCTAAATATTTTCATAATAATTGTATAAAATATTATATAGAAAATTTTGTTTTTTAAAAAGAAGTCCCGCTGGGTTACTTGCTGGTTCTTCTCAGGACAGAGGTTTTTCTTTGCGAACCAGTGGTAAAAGTAAAAAATGAAAAAATTATAAGTATTATGTACTATAATCTATATTGACAAAAAATTATTGTATTTTATTCTATTCTATAAAGTTAGATTAGATTGTTTTTAAATAATGTTTGCATGTCTGCGTGTAAGTTCTTATGTCCGTATCCTTTTTCATGACAAAAATTATATAAAACCCGATTCAGTTTTCATTGAAGTTTAAAAAAATGAAAAATACAGTAAAGAAAAATAAAACAGTCAAGCTAGAAGCACAAAATAGCAATTAAGTGGTGAGGGTAGACCGAATCGAAGCCAAACCCGTATACATTTATTTTATGTCTAGCATGAAACAGCCAATTATAGATCTGTAACATATATAAAATATATAAGAGAAAAAAATCTAGGAGTTTGTGCGAGTCACCAACCTTTCTGGTGCCAGCCAGGCGCTGTCCTGCCACAGAAGCCTACAGACACAACCCATTAGTACAAAATGTTACCTTTACTTATATGTAATACATTGTAACATTATTCTTTTTATAGAATAAGGGTGACCAACAGCACACAGGCCACCTGATGCTAAGTGGATGCTGTGGCCTATAGACTAGATATGGAGAGTCTCCTCGATCGAGAATCAAAATGCAGACGCGTTGTCAGCCGTGAGGACTAAGATGGAATGCCTCGTTTCCAGTAAAAAGGGCCTCCGGTTCTCTACACTCACCATACAAAACACAGCAGCATTGAGCTGCTATTTCACGCTGGTATTCTGTGAGAGCGTGGTCCGAATAGAGCACGAATAGAACGAATAGAGCACGAATGGGTCGGCTCGACCGGGGAAGGACCACGCTCTCACAGAATACCAGCGTAAAATAGCAGCTTAACGCTGCTGTGTTTCGTATGGTGAGTGTAGAGAACCAGAGACCCTTTTTACTGTAAATGGGGCATTCCATCTTAGTCCTCACGGGTGACGACACATCTGCATTTTGATTCATTATTGAGGATAGATGTAGATGTCTATGGGCCGTAGCAACCACTTACCATCAGGTGGACTGTGTGCTCGAAAAGCATGGCATCATAAGGTTGATATGTGATACGCTTCGCAGGTGCATTGGAGACAGTGAAATAAAACGAATGTACTTCACCTGAGGACGCCTCGTTTAGAGGTGAGATGCCTTAGTGTCATATTATCGACAGTGGTGTGTCTTTCCTAGTGTAGTGGTGTTGGGAGTAGTGATAACGGGGATAGTGCACGCAATTGACAAAGAGCGGGAGGTGTTCTTCAAACTAGGTAAGAAGAATATTTTATTTTATTAACCTTAGATAATTAATTTTTAACATGTTTAATCTGAGAGTCACATCCACTTACCATCATGTGGACTGTATATGCTCGTTTGTCACATTTATTTTGTAAAAAAGGGGGATTGTTTAAGTTTGCTTTTAAACTCTAATAATATTTATCATATAATAATATCAGACTAGGTGGTACTCGGCGCATTGCACCCGCAGAAGAAATAATTGTGGAAATATCTTTTTTTAATTCTGGAAGGGTTATATTGTTTAATTAATTAATGGTAATACATTAATTGAAATTGAATGATATAGGACTTTCAAATTTTGTTGGTACGATACGCGCGCCACCTACTGTAAGTTAATTGTACTATGCCTATAACCTTCGCGTAAGTGCAAGCAATAAGTTTACAAAGTTTTACCGCAATCTGATGAAAGATATGGCAACGCATAAAATACGAACAAACAAATATTAATTTTTATATTGTATATATTTTCATATGTATATTATACAGTGATATGGGCGGCAAAAATATAGCAGATTAGCGAACCGTTACGACCTCACACGGGGTGGGATTCTGGATATCCACAACAGCACCATCTACCGGGTCCAATTGTGAAACTAAACCATCCATAGACCAACTTAAACACAAAAAGTTTCATCGAATTCGGTCGAGCCGTTTAGGAGGAGTTCAGTTAAATACACACGGACAGAAGAATTACAAAGATAGTGGTCAAATTTATAATTTACTAGCTGTGCCCGCGGCGTAGCTCGCGTATACAGGTTTTACATAAAGAATTTGTCGTTTAGGTAAGAGAATATTAAACGATTTATTTCATTACTGTATCAATAAGTGGTAACTAAATAAATCATTATCATCAAAGTTCTAAGTCGTTTATGATAGAGCTTCTGTGTAAACGACGTTAGAAGTAGGCTTAGCCGGGGTGTACACAAAAAGGTTATGGGGGTTACTAACGCGGGAAAAAGCAACATAGAGTTGGCCATGTGCTAAACAGTCAGTACTGAGGTACACTCCTACAACGCGTAAAGTTTGACCTTGCGCTTTATTTACGGTCATCGCATAACATAAACTCACTGTAACTGGGAACTGAACGCGCTTAAAACTGAAAGGAAAGTTACTTCTTAATAGAGGGTTTTTGGGCAGTGCTGCCAGATAAAAAAAAACTCATTCAGCTCTAGGACAAAACAAAAAGCGCTAGATTTCATGAAAACAGCGCTTTAAAAAAGCCCTAGATTTCGCGCTAAATTAACTACAAACAAAGTTTGTGTATTTTTATATAATCATAATAAAGAAAACAACATTAAGTTTTTTTTCTGGCAATAT